TCCTCAACTGGTTGAACTATGGATATAGGAGGCCAGCTGAATCAGTCAGGATAGACTACAGTAGGCTATGATAGTTATTAACCCCCAAATTTCAATGGCTTAAAATCAAAAAGGTCTGTGTTTTGCTCACATTATATGACAATGATAGTTTGGTTGAGGACTCTTCTTAATGGAGAAAACACCATCACGGGCATTATTGTTTGTCCTATCAGAGAGACATATCTCAGGCTCGTCTCTCAGTAGCATTAAATGCTCCACCCAGAAATGTCACAAACTCCTTCCATGTACACTCTTTGGTCAGGACTAGTCACTTGAGCAGGAAGTGCAATCCTGCAGGTGCCCAGAAGGTGGAGAGCCAGAAGTCATTGGTGAGCAGTGCAAATGACTACTAGACTCTACAAAATTGACACCATCAACTTTATTTCTCAGCAATACTTATGAGGTGAGTTCAAAGCCAAATAGAAAATATGGAGTGGAATTTGAGATTTTTTTGTTTTCTTGGGTAGGCTCAGGGCCCTATTTTTTTTTTTTGTTTTGTTTTGCCTTTTTTTTTTTTTTAATTTAATGAGGCTAGATGGTATATGGCATTCAACTTGGTGGTTAAAAGCCTGGAATCTGGATGGTATCCAGACCTTCAGCTCTGCCACTTACCAGATGTGTGAGCTGGGCAAGTAAAGACCATTATGTACTTGTTGATTGATTGTATGTCCTCCTCTGAGAAGTGTCTGTTCAGGTCCTTGGCCCATTTGTTGATTGGGTTATTTGTTATCTTATTGCCTAATTTTTTGAGTTCTTTGTATACTCTGGATATTAGGGCTCTATCTGAAGTGTGAGGAGTAAAAATTTGTTCCCATGATGTAGACTCCCTATTTACCTCTCTTATTGTTTCTCTTGCTGAGAATAAACTTTTTTAGTTTAAGTAAGTCCCATTTGTTGATTCTTGTTATTAACTCTTGTGCTATGGGTGTCCTATTAAGGAATTTGGAGCCCGACCCCACAATATGTAGATCGGAGCCAACTTTTTCTTCTATCAGGCGCAGAGTCTCTGATTTGATATCCAGCTCCTTGATCCATTTTGAGTTAACTTTTGTGCATGGCAAGAGGAGGGGATTCAGTTTCATTTTGTTGCATATGGATTTCCAGTTTTCCCAACACCATTTGTTGAAGATGCTATCCTTCCTCCATTGCATGCTTTTAGCCCCTTTGTCAAATATAAGATAGTTGTAACATTGTGGATTAGTCTCTGTGTCCTCTATTCTGTACCATTGGTCCACCCGCCTGTTTTGGTACAAGTACCATGCTGTTTTTGTTACTATTGCTCTGTAATATAGTTCAAAATCTGGTATCGCTATACCGCCTGATTCACACTTCCTGCTTAGAATTGCTTTTGCTATTCTGGGTCTTTTATTTTTCCATATGAATTTCATGATTGCTTTATCTATTTCTACAAGAAGTGCTCACCATCTCTAGCAGTCAGAGAAATGCAAATCAAAACCACCCTAAGATACCATCTCACTCCAGTAAGATTGGCAGCCATTATGAAGTCAAACAACAACAAGTGCTGGCGAGGATGTGGGGAAAAGGGTACTCTTGTACATTGCTGGTGGGACTGCAAATTGGTGCAGCCAATTTGGAAAGCAATATGGAGATTCCTGGGAAAGCTGGGAATGGAACCACCATTTGACCCAGCTATTGCCCTTCTCAGACTATTCCCTGAAGACCTTAAAGGAGCGTACTACAGTGATACAGCCATATCGATGTTCATAGCAGCACAATTCACAATAGCTAGACTGTGGAACCAACCCAGATGCCCTTCAATAGATGAATGAATAAAAAAAAAAAATGTGGCATTTATACACCATGGAGTATTATGCAGCACTAAAAAATTACAAAATCATGGAATTTGCAGGGAAATGGATGGCACTAGAGCAGATTATGGTACGTGAAGCTAGCCAATCCCTAAAAAACAAATGCCAAATGTCTTATTTGATATAATGAGAGCAACTAAGAACAGAGCAGGGAGGAAGAGCATGAGGAAAAGACTAACATTAAACAGAGACCTGAGGTGGGAGGGAAAGGGAGAGAAAAGGGAAATTGCATGGAAATGGAAGGAGACCCTCATTGTTACACAAAATTACATATAAGAGGTTGTGAGGGGAATGGGAAAATAAACAAGGAGAGAAATGAATTACAGTAGATGGGGTAGAGAGAGAAGATGGGAAGGGAGGGGATGGGGGATAGTAGAGGATAGGAAAGGTAGCAGAATACAACAGTTACTAATATGGCATTATGTAAAAATATGGATGTGTCACCGATGTGATTCTGCAATCTGTATTTGGGGAAAAAATGGGAGTTCATAACCCACTTGAATCTAATGTATGAAATATGATATGTCAAGAGCTTTGTAATGTTTTGAACAACCAATAAAAAAAATTTCAGAAGGAGGAAACACATGAGGTGGGTTGGACAAATTCCATACCATGATTTCTTGTTTCACATTTTTTTAATTGATTTGATCTTAGGAGCTCTGGTTTTAGCCAGAAATGTGTATTTTAAAAGAAAAAAAAAAGACCATTTATACCCATCAAAGAGGTAATCAAAAGATGTGAGAGGCCAAGGAAACAGGTTCTTTCTCAAATCGAGTGCTTAGAACCAGACAGCACTTACCTGAGTAGGACTGATGAGAAGAGGGCTACTTTAGAAGATAGCACACGAATTGGGGTGGCTCCAGGTGGCAGGGAGAATGCATGTTTATCCCCCACAAATTGCTGTCTTCCTGCCTGACCCAGTGTGAATGTTTGGGCTGTAAGAAACAGAGAAGCCAAGTGGAGTTGGTTTAACCACATGAATAAGCTAAGTAAAGGAGATGTACAGGCTTCCTGCATATTCTCTCTCTCTCTCTCTCTCTCTCTCTCTCTCTCTCTCTCTCTCTCTCTCTCTCAACTTCATTTTGCAGTATGGGGATTGAACCAGGATCTTGCATGTGCACTTTACCACTAAGCTACATCTCCAGCCCTTTTGGAAAGCATTTATATTGAGATATGGTCTCACTAAGTTGCATAGGCTAACTTTAAACTTGCTAACCTCGTAGCTCAGCCTTCCAATTAGCTGGGAATACAGGCATGTTCCACATCATCTGCCCAGGGCTCTCTCTTAAAGCAGATAAATTTTCTATTACCATTGTCTCTAGCAAGCTTCCCCAAAATATCCTGGGCTCTAATGGCTTATGAGAGGCCAGTGTTCTTGGGTAGAAATACTAGCTGCTTTAAGTAGAAAAGGTAGTGCACTAGAGGATGTTAGGCATCCCAAGAATCATTGGTAGGGCTGGAGAAAAGAACTTGAGGCTAAGCTTCAAAGAAAAATGCCCCAAACCACATAGAGGCTTGGCCAGATGAACTAAGGATGGCTTCTCCCTTGCTTCCCTGGAGTGCCAAGGGCCAGGAGTCTTCCCTTGCTTCAATTCCTACTGCTGTCAGCCCAGTGCTGCTTATCCTAACTGATACAGAATTATCAGACTAAATGTGTTAGTGACTGGACAGCACTTGGAGCTGTGCTAGGCACCTTGTAGCTGCCCCTTTGATGTGATTTTGCCTCCTGACCTACTCTTTCAGCTGGTGGATTGGGTTGGGTTGATATGTAGAAGGGGACTCATATGCTCTGGCTCATATAGCAGAATTATTTCCTGGAGAGTGAACTATCTTGGAGGTGAGTGGGCCTGCATTTTCTAACAGACATAACTATCATGTAAGCTGCTGTAGCCCAGGAAGACTCCAATAAAGGGGTAAATTGAACCTTAAAGGCTCATGATTTTACAGAACCTGACCCAGAAGAAGTAGACTATGCTGTCTTGTGGAACAGGATCAAACTCAGACTCAGGTTCAAATTCTGACTAACTATGAACACTTATGCAAGTTTCTTCATCTCCAGGACTTGAAGAATATATACCTTCAATAAATTTTAGCTCCTCTTCTCTAGAAACAATTATTACGATTTCCCCTGGGAAGAAATGCCATGTGTCTTCTCCCTAACATCATGTATATTCTATGTCCTCTATGCCATTCCATAGTACTTTGTATCAGCAAAATGTTACTCAAGGAGACTAGAGAATTCAATACAGTCTCATCGTTTTCTGGGTCCTGCCCAAAAAATGTCACAGGGAGGCCTTAGGAAATTCATGCAATGAAGCTGAAACATTTTATTGATAACAATTTTATCGAGATGGGGGAGGTATTGTACCAGATGACTTCCTAGGCGTGTCTGTTTACTTTGGTGAACATTGGGGCCAGGGACGGGGTGGGGAGTGAAGACTGGGGCTAAGAGGCAGTGCCCTTGGTGCAAGCAGGGAGAGGGCCTGGGGGTTGTCATGGAGGGCACTGGTTTGGGCTCCAGAGGAGCCCAGATTCCAAGGTGGGCTCTTGCCACTTCCTAGCTGTATGACTTGGAGCCCATTGCTTAACCTTGCCACGCGAATTTTTCCTCTGTGAAATAGGGAGGATGGTAATACCCTCTTAGGGCAGTTGTGAGGATCCAAGGGGTGTTGTTAAAGTTCTCAGCTGCTATGATTACTATTTTACCATGGGGGCTGAGGCTCCCAGGTTCATGGCCTGGGCAGGCGCATGCACAAAAACACCCAATGGGCCACATGAGACTGAGGTGCTGCATAGCACCTGGGTTTTAATCCTTTAGGGTCATGGGGTGGGCGGAGTGGATTCAGGGATGGGGATATGGAGAGAAGGTCCCAAGAATGGCTAGTACTGACCCTCAGGCGCGGTGGGCAGTGTAAAGGGGAGGGGCCAAGGTAGTTCCAGGCTGGGTTTGCACAGTGGTGAGGGCGGAGTAGTGAGGTGAGGACCAAAGTCTCGCGAGATCTCACAGCGCTGGTTGCAGAGGAGACAGTCGGAGAGGTGAGCAGCGTGCTTTGCGCGGAGGTGGCTGTGGCGGTGGCGGTTGCGGTGGCGGCGGCGGTGGCGGCGGCGGCGGCGGCGGCGGCGGCGGCTATTGGGGGCTGAAAAGGGTGAAAGCGGCAGAGACCCAAGCCCCTGGCAAGAAGAACGGGACAGGTGGGTGGCCAGATCTTTGGAGGCAGTCCAGCAGGGCCTGCGGCTGAAGCGGCGCCGCCTGGTCGGCGCCATACCGGACCATGCGGGGTGGGGCGGCTGGGCCTTGGGCCAGTTCCCCCTGGCCAGTCAGACCTCGCGCTCGGTGGGACCCCGGACCCGCCTCAGTATCCCAGGGCGGTGGGCTTGGCACTGCTGGCCATGGCTGGTTCACTTTGCTGTATGCCAGGCATTTAACTTGTTCACTTCCATGCTAGCGCTGCACAGAGAGGTGCAGCGCCCTGCCCAAAGTTGCACTGCTGGGATGTGGTGGGATGGGGCTTCCAATACCTGCACAGGCCTCTGCCCTTTTTTTGCCTCCGGTTCTTCTCGGAGCAGTGCTTGTAGCTGGTTTCCTGGGGTCCTGGTGGGGCTGCAGAGGGTGTGTCAGACCCACTCTGAAATTGGATGCAGCATGGTATGTGAATTCATTGGGAAAGGCTTTTTCCAAGCCTTTTGCCCAATTTCTGGATGGTCTTCTACCCCTAACCTGTCATTTGGTCCTGTGTGAGAGAGAAGAGGTGGGTGTAGAGTGACCTTTGTACACTAGGGGTGGGGTCACTAGCCCAAGGCTTGCTTCAGGCAAAAGAAAGTTTGATTCCCATTGAAGCACTTGATTCTAGCCTGGAACAGTTGGTTGTCAACCACAGAAACAAGGCCCTTCTCTTTGGTTTTGAGCATTTGTAGAGCCCACTTCGCTACTGAGCAGTGAGGTTCCTAAACCTCACTGAGAATCTACCTACACACATAAGTGAAAGTGAGTATGATACTTTCACTTACATGTAAAAGAGAAATAAAGGGATAACAATGTATGATCTGCAGTGCTGTCTCACTTATAACCAGAACTTTCAGCTGTGGTGGAAGACAGCATGCTTTTGAATGCTTGCACCTGCTGCTAATGAAGGAGTTTGAGTTAGTTAAAAAAAAAAAAAAAAAGTATTAGGATCTAGTTCAAACAAGAAAATCAAAGAGGGAGATGAAGATGGAAACTAGGGAGAAAACACTTAGTGTTGGGATAACTTTATTTAAGCTAATAAAAAGGAAAGGCTAGATTGAAATAGGGATGACATGTCAAGGTCAATTACAGGGTGCTTCAGTCTACCCACAGGTCATACTATGGCCCTTCCATGGATCCCTTTACCCACTATGTCACAGGACATCCTTTGTGTCTTGTGCTTTGAGGTACTACTACTTGAAGGAACAGTAATGAGTTCCTTCAGTTGCTAGTAATAACAGTAAAATATTAACAAGATTGAAATTTTTGGATTCATTAAGGTGAGATTTATCTGCTATCTCATACTGTTGGCATATATACTACTCTATGTATACTCGTTGTAATTTTAAATTTATGTTGAGTTAATGTGTAGTGTAAAGAAATGAGCACTAATTTTCAGACAGTTTCCTTATTCTGCTGAATCATCCCTTACTATTTTCTCTTACATAATTACAGGGAAGCTGTGGGGTTTCCTATAAAAGCTTTAAATATTATGTCTTAAAGAAATGCTCATTTAAAGTGGGCTTGATTAAACCATTTTAAGATCAAAATTCTTGTGACCAGGATGAATCTTGATGATACAGATCCATCCCACCCAAGCATTGTGTGAAGCCTAGATCCTTGCTCCAAAACACAAATGCCCCAGCGTGTCCCCAAACTCTTTGATAACTAAAAATTTTTCTTAAGGACATTTCTGACTCTGAGAATACTATTAAGAACATATCCATTATCTACTTAATTTTAACAAGAAAGGGGTGACAAACAACTTTTTTCTAGGAATTTTTTTTTTTTTTCTGAAGTGTCTGACATATAACATAGACATGGTCTTGGTTAGTGACACTTGTGTCAATTATTCTAGAATCTTGGGAGGCAAGGTTATTTCCTGTCACAAAATTTTGACTGTGTTTGATGGGAATTCACATTAGAAATGTTAACAAGTAAACACTAGAATCATTTTAGCAGTTTGATGTGAGAAGAGAGTTGGGCAGTGACAGCAGTGTGTACTATAGCAGGTCTGAGTTGAGTAGAATATACATTCATGTCATCATTTAGGGGCTGGGTTACTTACAGGGATTGGATTGAACCCATAGACACTCTACCACTGAGTTATACTCCTTTTTTCCCTTCTTGAAATGGGATCTTCTGAAGCTGTTGAAGCAGTCTCAAACTTGGGATCCTCCTGCTTTCCTAATTTCTTACTCCTTCAAATAGCTTTTTAAAAACAGATTATCATATCCTTTAACTTGATTGAAGGGGGAAAAAGCAATTTTTTTGTGATAACCACACCAAGATTGCTTTTCAGCATGTAATTTCAGAGCAAAAAAATCTATATAAAAATCTATTTAAAGCTTGTTTTTAAGTCTTATCTATAGGTGTCTCTTTCTCTTCTTTGTGTAAGTATTCTTTTTAATGTTTAAAAAACTTTAATGTTAAAAAACTTTTTAATATTCTTTTGGTTAAAAGTTAAAATGACACAGCCATGCTTGGGAAAATCTGATTTCCGATGGCTTTGCCCCCCACCCCCTTCACCCCTCTTTTTTAGATAACCTCCTTTAATTTATTTCCCATAGATGTCAATTGTTTCCTTTTATAGTTGGAGAAATGCCAGTGTACTATATTCTTTTTATATAAACTGTAGCATAATATGTAACTAATTCTGTCCCATGGATTTTTCTTTATATGCTCTTGAGATCTTTTCCTATTAGTATTTATTTAGAAAGAATATAATCTTTGTTTATAGAAAACACTTAAAACAAAACAGCTGTGTTTAAACAGCATCTATTAAGTGTCTTGTTTACTTAACCAGCCACCCTTGTGGGTATTTGGGTCTTCTCTAGGTTTATCACAGACCATACTGTGGTGAAACAGCTTGTATATATATATCATTTTACATATGCAGGTACATCTGTGGGATGCATTCCTAGAAGTGGGATCACTGAGCCAGTGGGCAGGACATTTATGGTTTTGTTAAATACTTCCTTTCTTAAGTGTTGCACCATTTTAAACTCCCCAAAGTACAGTTGCTCCTCCTTATCCTTGGAGGATTGGTTTGAGGACCCCTTAGTGTATACTGAGATTCAAGGATGCTTGAGTCTATTATATAAAAAGCATAGTATTTGCATATAATCTATGCACATCTGCATACTTTTAAATCATCTTTAGATTGCTTAAAAGACCTAATACAATATTAATGCCATGTAAATAGTTGTTACACTGTATTATTTAGGGACTAATCACAAGGAAAAAAGTTGGTATGTGTTCTGTATGATAATTTTTTAAAAAAATATTTTTACCTATGATTTTCAAATCCAGTCTTAATACCACAGATACAGGAGGGCAGATTGCAGTGTTTGAGAGAGTTCCTGTTTTTCTGGGGCCTTTCCAATGTACTGTGTGTTTACAACCCTTGAATTTGTTAACAGTTTGATAGATGAGAATTATCAATATAGAGTCATTTTAATATACATTGCTATCATTATTAGTGAGGTTGAGCTCTTATGCTTAAAAACTAGTTGTATTTCTTTTCCTGTAAAATCTCTGTTCATATGTTTTTTCACATTTTTGTTTTGAATTGCTTTTTTTCCCTTATCAATTTCTAGAAATTTATAAATTGTAGAGATTAGCCCTATGTGATATAAATTGTAGTTTTTCCCCAAATTTTCACTTATTTTTTTATTTACCTTCACATATTTTGATATACAGAGTCTTACATTTTTTTCTTTGAATTCTACAGTTTATATTACTCATTATGGTATCTTGATATTTTTTAAAATTTTTCTTTATTTCTATGTGGTGCTGAGGATTGAACCCAGTGCCTCACAAGTGCTAGGCAAGTGCTCTACCACTGAGCTACAGCTCCAGTCCAGGTATCTGGATTTTAAGTCACTGAAAGGCCTCCAAGATTTTTAGAATTTGCTCATGGTTTCTTTAAGTACTTTTGTGGTATGACTTTTATATTTAAATGTTCAAACTAGGATTTTTTTCTGGTGTTCAGAATGATGCATAGGTTCAACTTTATCTTTTTCTGCGTGCCTGATATTTTCACCTGTTGCTTTTCGAGCCCTTCTTTGAATACTCTTATGGTATTGTTAACTTTTGGATGTATTGGGGTGTCTCTGGTGTTTGTATTCTATTAGTCTTTTTCTTCATACACCAGCATCACATTATTGGTTTTGTAAAAGTTTTAACATCTTTTAAAATTAGTTTCCCCTTGTTGCTTTTCATATTCCTGGGAATTCTTGCTTGCTTATTTTTCCATGAGTACTTTTGAACTATTTTGTCTAGTGCCAGAAAAACAAAAATCTAAACAAAATAAACATCAGATTAAATGTATACATTTAAAATCTATTTAACTTCTCTAAACTTTTTTTTTTTTTTTCAGGTGCTAAGAAAGAATGTAAGACAGGAAAATAATTAAATATTTTCACTGTGGTGTTTTATAATTTTACATTTTAAAAATACTTTAATTATCATTATTTTTTTTTATTCTGCTTCTTTAAGTTGTAAAAGGGATATTGTTTTAGGAGTGTTTGAGTTCATAGAACCTGTGGGTGGTAAGGTAGATGCCAATAATGTGGGCTGTCTGAATAATGATGTTTGTCTTTCCCTATCTCTCTGACTCTAATATTTTAATTTCTATTATCTTGTCATTTTAATGTGTGGTTCTGAGAAGGAGGTCCTGTATTATATCTACTAGCAAAATTCAATGAATTCTTTCCTCTTAAATAGGAAGTTGAAAAGACTTGAAGTAATTTTGGTGATATAGAGGCACTTCTTTATCTTAAAAGTTTGTTGTGATTTTTTATTATAATAATTAGAAAAAAAATTCTACCCATAAAAACAGCATAATGACAAAAGTAAGCCCTCAATTCCTTCACAAAGAAATGGCCACCATTAACTCACTTTTGGAAACTTATTGATGGATATGAAAGTATATAGAAGACTTTAAATAAATAGCAGTATAAAAGAC